CGGGCAGCAGCAGAAGGTACGTCTCGTCGTCTCCAACTGATGTGTTCCTTTTTTTTTCAGTTCCGCTGTGAACTTACTCTGTTAGTCTCATAAAGCAAATTAGATTCAAGGCATTTAGATTAGACGTTGCTAGCGCCGGTGATCGGCAATCGAAACACATACAGCAAAAGTGCACAGGTCACATGATATGTAAACTGACAGATTCTAGACATCTAAAACGGCATTGGGTTATTGGAAGATTTTTTTTGTGCAACGCTGGAGTATTTTATTTGAAGTATAGTTTTTTTTTTGCAGCATTGTATTATTGGTGTGGTATATATAATATTTAAATTTTATATTAAACAAGCTAGACTTGTCTATTTTATGATGCTTGTATGTCCTCTTTACCTTTATCTATTTGTGCATGTAGTTGTGTACCGACGTATTTCATTTATAGCGGTTAAAAAAGTTAAATAATGGATCACCCTACTTATAAATCCTAATTACGCCACTGCTGCTGAATGCTTAGATCAATTTGAGAACCAGCCGCTTTACTCGTAGTTGGTTCTGTTACAGTAATAATTTGCGACCTAAGGCACGGTAGTGACTAGTGAGATGGCACAGATGCTTGAGTTTCACCTACAGGTTCGGAACGGGCTGCTTAGGATGCTATGAAAAACATTCAAGCAATTGCCTGATAGTGTTTCATCATCTAGCTCTTTGATAGTGATTACCAAAAAATTTGTTGTGACTGTTTTTTCCTTGAATATGAGTTGCTAACTTGTTATGCTAATGCTACAATTAATTTTCTTTATTTGACCCGTGAGCCGGTATATTTTTTAGTTGTACTTAGGTAAATACCCATGCGTTGCAACAGAAAAATATAATATGAGGATAACACATGTATTAGCATGTGTTAAACTGCTACCTAAAAAAGATACTGCAATCATGATGTTAGTAACATTTATATTACATGAGTCTTCATAAATGATAGATAATTAAAATATAACTCCAAGTTTTGATGCGAAACTAAAACAATCAAATTCATATTATAAGACCTATGCGAAACTCAAACAATTAAGTTCATATTGTAGGAACCAAGCTATTGTGTACGATACGTCAAAGATAAGTTTGCACTTTTTTAGGAATTGATTTTTTTTCTAGAAATTTCCTTTGTATGCCAATAGCTTGATCATGAAGTCATTTCATATCCTTCAGCCATCCTATGCAAAGTCATATATAAACTAGGGAGTACAATCAGTAGCCTTGTACCTTCCAGGGCAACCGGTGATGACATAGATTTTTTGGATCTATTATGAAATATTATGATTTCAGAATCACTTGAGGGAAGTCATTTTTCTTCCGTCGTATCTACCCAATCAGTTGATTGAGCTTTTTTTTTATCATGCATCGTATCAATGCTAAATCCCGGGTCACCCGATAGAACTCATGGTTAACTTCTGTATGCATGCCTTTTTCCATCTATTCAGAATCATTCAAAGGTTCACTTGGAACCTGACATCGTAAATGGTGTAGTCGTGTCCTTGTTCTAGTAATATGTTGAACCTCTCGGTCTCTGAGCTACGACTGCTATTAATTTGCAACCCTAAAATTATATAATATTACCATCTATGTTAATTTGTGAATGAAACTATTTTACCTAACATGACTGCTATTCTTCAGGCTCACTACAGTATCCATGAGGATGAAGCGCTGAGAGTCTCGATGGAACTGGAACTTTGGTTCAATTCTAACGGTAATACTCCATGAATAACCGATGTCAGAAAGTTGAATGTTTTGGAACCTCTTAAACTAACATAGATGGTAATATTATATAATTTTAGGGTTGTAAATTAGTAGCGATCGTGAGTGGCTTAGAGACCTAGAGGTGTAACATTTATGATGGTAGGTTCCAAGTGAACCTTTGAATGATTCTGAATGAATGAAAAAAGCCCTGCACAGAGAAGTTATTTATGGAGTTCTATCGGGTGACTAGGGCTTTAACATTGATACGATGCATGATAAAGAAGCCCAATGAACTGATCGGGTAGATACGACGGAAGAAAAAGGACATCCCTCAAGTGATTCTAAATCATAATATTTGATAATAAACTCAAAAAATCTATGTCATCATCGATGCCCCAGAAAATACAAGGCTACTGATTGTACTTGGCTTTATACTCTTTGCATAGGATGGCCGAAGGATATGAAATGACTCCGTGATCAAGCTATTGGCATACAAAGAAAATTGTAGAAAAAATTCAATTCCTAAAAATGTGCAAACTTATCTTTGGTGTATCGTAGACAATACTTATGTTCTTACAATATGAACTTTATTGTTTATAGTTTCGCATAGGTTCTTATAATATGAATTTGATTGTTTTAGTTTCGCATCAAAGCTTGGAGTTATATTTTAATTATCTATCCTTTACGAAGACTCATGTAATATAGATGTTCTAGACATCACGATTACAGTATCTTTTTTGGGTAATAGTATAAAATACGCTAATACATGTGTTATCGTCGTATTAGATTTTTCCGTTGCAACACATGAGCATTTACCTGGTGAGTTAAAATAAATGCACTATCAAAGTATGTTTCATGTGTAATTTAATGTACTAAATAAATGTTGGTGCATTTTTTTTAGAAATTTAACTCAACTTAGAGAAGTTTTATTTATGAATGATGAAAAATCTAAAACAAACTATAATCTGAAATAGAGGAAGTTTGGTTAAAAAAACAAGGCCTTCTTGTATGACCTATGAGTGATCACTTCGTCCTCTCTATTTAATTCACTACTACATAAAACTTTTGTAGGGGCGGCTCCAGATAATTTGTAGGGGCGGTTTGGCCAGCCGCCCCTACCAAAGCGTGGCTACAAATCATGCATTTGTAGGGGGCGGTTCCCAGACCGCCTCTACAAATCAATTTATAGAGGCGGCTGGTGTTATCAGTCGCCCCTACAAATCGATTTGTAGGGGCGACTGTAGTACCAGCCGTCCCTATAATACCTGTTTGTAGGGGCGGTTCAGTCTAGAACCGCCTCTACAGTACATTTTTCTACCAAAAAAATTTAAATTTACAATTCAAATTTGACCAATATATATATATATATATATATATATAATTCAAATCTGACCACAAGCACAAGAGTATTATATAAACTACAATTATAAGTCCAATCCACAAGAATATATACAATCCATTATTAAATAGACACCATGATTCCTAGAATTTTCTAACGTTGTACCACATGCTCGAAGAAGTACAGATCATTCATTTCATATGCCAAAATGTCAATGATGTAGCGCAATGTATTTACTAGTGCACTCTTCCTTGCTTCACAAGGTCTACTGACGGCGATCAGCATTGGTCGAGAACCTTCACTCCTAGTCACAAGAATTTTTACCTGGATTCCCTCTGAAGTGAGAACAGGGCCACCATATTCCCATTTATAACGACCCATGTGATATATGGCCTGGTTTAAAATGGCTTCAAAGCTACAACTTGCGTATGTTACGTCGTTCTCCTAAATCTGTAAGTGTTGGGGAAAATGTGGTTATGAGAACCATGCATATATATAGACATAATAATTAATTTAGATATAAGTTATGAGACTGACCACATCATTCATGTTGTCCTCAGCAAGCTTTGCACAAAACAGTCCAATATCGTGGTGGAGGCCCACATTCAAAGCAGCAATCCTCATGGAGGAGTATGTAGGAATATTGTATCTAATATTTTGAAGTGCCCTTAAACATGTTTGCACAGCATATTTTTGCGTAGTAATGTCATGAGGTTGACCGCTGCTCGTCCTATCGATGTATAAAACCATACCTTGTTGGTTACCCACCCTCGCGAGAATAGAAAAGCCAATTCAACATTGCTTGATTCGACCATCTATAGGGAATGTATCAACATTGAGGAAATCAACCCCGAAATTTGAGAGTGTCTCTCTGAACCATGGTATAGGATGAATTGTCTATATTTAAGAATTATATATATCAGAACAAAATATCTATAGATGTGTCTTTAAACATGTTACTTACTATGCTTGGATATGGGTGGTTTGTCCTCCCCAATGCTAGTTGGAAGCCCATATCATACACATAATTACTTGGTAGATCCGGCGAAGGGAGTTCGGCCATATCTTCTCCTAAATCTATGTCAAGGAAAACAGTTATAGTAGAAGAACAGGAGATGATAGGAGTAGAAGAAGTAAAAGCAGAGAACAGGAGAGGAGAAGAGTAGAAGTAGTAGGACTAGGGAGACCGACCGACCAAGAAGATGATCGACCAAGAAAATACAGCATGAACTAAGGAACTTTCTAGCATTAGCATGAAGGTCAGATTCCGTAAACAGATTCTACAAGGCCTTAGTAAAAAAAGAAAGAAACATGTCGTGCACAACTATCAAGGGGCTATGATGGTATGACAACATGTTAGACAGAGTAAGAGAGTTAAAGAGCATGATCTTCCAAATTCACAGAAGGAGAGGAAGACAGCAGAAAAAGAGGCCTCGGAAACATGTCAATCATCATTTGATCATGAACTTGGAGCATAGTGGCATCATAACAGAGAAGAGATGAGAAGGTAATGTAGGAGCGACTGGTAATTATGCCAAGTTCCTCACAAGTTCTTGATCATCAGCTCATGTTCCATATAATGTATGGACTTGGACAATTTCATCATCGGGAAAACAAAGAAGAGGAGAAGAGATGGGAGATTTGGCAAAAAAAAACATAGATAGAAGAATAGTAGAATAGTTGGAAGACCCCTGCAGATCCACCAAACAACAACTGCTTAACAAACATATATATGCTCACTGTTAACAAACATAGAGAGAAGAATAGTATAGTACAGAAAATCTAGAACTGTAGGTGCAAAATATATACTGAAATTAGATCAGGAGGGTCAAGTTGAGAAATTAGAGTACAGGCTGAAACGCCTGCTGCAGAAAAGGCAGGTCAAGTTGAGAAAGTTGTTTTAGGTAAAGGAAAGGAAAACAGAGGGAAAGACATCATGAGAAACTCATACAAAACAGAACTTGCAAGGCAAATTTTGCTCAGTTTTATTGTGAAGTCAGTGCACGATAGTTTAGGTTCCGCCCAAGCTAAACCAGAGAGGAAGCCAAGTGGATCAGATGAAGCTACTAATGAACAGAGCAGCAACTTAGGCAACAATGCTTCTGGTCGCAAAGATTCAGATAAACAAGAGAAAGCCATGGAGGTTCCTAAGGGTCTGAAGGATACAGAGGGGTTTACATTTGTTTCAAAATGTCGAAGGCGGCCACAACCATTCTTGAACCCCATAAATGGCCTCTATTCTTAGGAGTCTATTTGCACCTCTGTTGAAGAGGTTTCAGCCTTTACTCTAATTAGAGTATAGAGAATCTAGAAATTGCAGGTGCAACATATATATGCTCACTGTTAACAAATATATACTGAAATGCAGACAAAATGATCAGGAGGGTACTCATATACCACTAATAGAAATAAGTAAATCCATACAGTCATAAATGACTTAGAAAGTGGAGCACATGATTTGTTTGGACTGCAACTTGCCATAACTACTTAAAAAAGCATGTCCAGTAATGCTATCTCGCCAATTTCTAGTTGTGATGTAAGAGAATACATCACATTTTAATATAAACCCCCTTTTTTGTTGCCTAAAATTTCCAATGTTATTAGTCATGATTATCTTTCGTACAGGGTGCAAAGGCAGTTCTCAATGTTCCATCAGTATATAGCATGGACATTAACAGTGACATTTAGCATCTCCTATGAGTTATGGCAGTAGAATAATTATAGAAATGCGATGCATTTAATGATATCATTAATGCATAGACCAGGAAACCGAGGCATTTCCATGTGAATTATTATATTGAAACTTTAGTTCCAAATTAAAATAAAAGGTATAAGCTTTGGTAAAAAAACAAACAAAAAACATGCTAACAACCTTTCTTCATGTTTCAAAGAGACTTCAAATATGTGCTAGGGACACAGGAAAATACTGGAGTTAATTCAACAGCTGAAAGAGGATCAATCTTATTTGACAAGTACATATGTCCTACCACTAGAAGACAATATCAACTTCAAACATCAGTCGGGGTAAAACAAGGCTAGTTGAATACTAGCTACAACTACACTAACCGGAGCAGGTTGACAGTATCAAATTGTATTTTCCGTACTACGAAAAGGTATATGTTCAGGAACAGAAAAATCAAGTAACCATGACATTTGACAGTTTCTGATAATCGTTCAAGTTCAACTTATGGGATGTTAGTAAAACTGACAATCTCATTTATCATTTGACAGGAGTGAACAAAATGGCAGACGAGTGTAACAGAACACAGGCAATCTAATGAATTACACTTATGAAATTAAAATGGTGTGATCATTCTGGTCTACTGTCCAAGAATAAGGGTTCAAGATCACCAAGCACACAACAGAGACAATTTTTCAAGATTACACAAATTCATGAGGGATCAAAAGTAAGATTGTAATCAACTGACACATCTGGAAATACAGATATATCAACAGATAATAAGCAGTTCCACACAGATATCCAAAGCCCGTCATTTCCTTAATGAATAAGGACCACATGAGATCATAAATATCATTAACTAAGATCTCAGGCTCAGAAAAAAAATTATTCAAATAACTTCACATAAATCATTCAATTAAAAGAAACTAAAACTTAAAAAGCAAGAATGCCACCAGAAGCATGATGGCGCTAGAAACCCAAAAAAGAAGCTTGTGTAACTTATTTGCCAGAGGCAAGCAAAAGAAGAGAGAAAAAGGAACCACAGAAAGTCTAGCAATCTATAATGCTTTCCCACCTATTTCCAGTCATGATGCAAGCAAATGTCACATTTTAACTTAAACTGTATTCTTAGCTGCCAAGAGTTTCCAATTCACAGGGGCATATTTGCAGGCAATGCTGTAACGTTCAGCAAGCTATGCAGTCAATACAATTGTACAATCAAAACATAAAAGACCCAAAAAGAAGTGATTGGCATACTAATTAGGATTTACTTCAACGAAACAGGCCAGAAGTGACTTAAATCATGACTAAATATCCAGCACTATTTCTATCATGTAAAACGATGTTTCAATCCTGTAAAAAATCATGTTCTAGCTGCAACACTATTTCTATCATGTACAAAAGAAATCCAAGCACAAATTAAATCCTTTGAAATGCAATTCCTATCATGTATAAAACTTAGAAAAATCCAGCCACATCTTATCCAAACACATCCTGACATGCAAATGAATGTAACAAGGTCGACACAAAGGATTTGAGTTTCCAAATCCATCAAGCAACATTTAGCAATACAATCTCAGTGAATCTAATGTCATAATATTGGAAGAAAACCATATCAGAGCCCCACGAGCATATCTTATAATGTTTATTTTGCAACAATTCCAAAAAACCTCAATTATCATCGAGTTTTGAATGGAAGACTGATTTCAAATTGTGGTTTTGACATACATACATATTCAATTCAGATATTCTTCCTAAGACCACCAAGCAAGTTACAAGTCATAGACAACAGCCAAAAGCTAATCTACAATTCCAGAACAAAAGCTTGCTAGAAAAAAATCACTAGCAAATTATAGGAGCAAAGCATGATGTACAATTATGGCTAGGCTAGCACCTAAGGTGACTAGAATAGGCATCACTGAATATAACACTAGGCTAGTAGCTAAATAAGTCTAACTTGCATCAGTCTATCAACACTGGCATTCTTAGTAAAAAAGAAATACAGCCAATGAGTTGCTCGTGTTTGCAATTCAATCATTTTCATGTAGAGCACCTCTTGTCTGAAATGGCGAGAAGGAATTCTAATCTCCACAATTCAGTTCTCAAATATAGCAATCTCAAACTTAGGAAATTAACAAAACGCATTCAGGCTCGCATCAAGTTTGTTCTCCGTCATTTGTCTCATTCTCGTCACACATTGTCGGGGACCTAATACCGGGGTACCCAATAAGGTGGAACTAATAACTATCGAACGTTGACACTTCCGGTCAGATAAGAACGCTACTGCGTCTCTTGCCTGAACGACGGAAGAATGGTTCTGCCTCGCCCGACCCCCGAGGGCTAGGCTCCGTCTCGCCCGATGGCTAAGGACGGGCTCCGCCTCACCCGATGTCCGAGGGTGGGCTCTGCCTCGCCCGACGACTAAGGGCTAGACTCCACCTCGCCCGACCCCCGAGGGCTAGGCTCCGTCTCGCCCGATGGCTAAGGGCGGGCTCCGCCTCGCCCGACGGCTAAGGGCTAGACTCTGCCTCTCCCGACCCCCGAGGGCTAGACTCCGCCTCGTCCGATGGCTAAAGGCGGGCTCCGCCTCGCCCGACGTCCGAGGGCAGGCTCCGCCTCGCCTGACGACTAAGGGCTAGACTCTGCCTCGCCCGACGACTACACCCTGATCCTTCATAAAGACGAGCACAGGGTACGACAGGACATCCAAGTCAACCGCAGTATCGAGGGCCATGCCCTGTACGCCTGTAGGAAGGCACCGCTAGGGTACGATGGGACAGGCGCTTTAAGCCCTTCCACCTAATAACGGTGCCGAATAGTGTTGTAGGCACCGACTTTTGTCCCACAAGTGTTGTAGGCGCCGCCATCGGCCCCTCGACGCGGATACTAACACAAGTATGCGACAACCACTACGACCCAAGACATAATTCACATCACTTACAGTGACGAACGTAGGGTCACTTCCCCGTCTACTCCCCGAAGGGTCGTAGCTTGGCCCTCTGACACGCCGCACCGTCCACCGGCGTAGGATGGGACGCACCCACTTGCTAATAGAAGCCAGGGCACGGCCCTATAAGGATCAGCGAACACGCCATCCCTGACATGGTCTGCCATGTTAGCAGGGCAGGCACACGGGAAAAGGAAGACCCGGCTCCCCCGAAGGACCTTCTCTACCTTTGATTTTTTTCCTCTTTCTCCCATCTGTAACCCCTGCTCCCCCTTGATATATAAAAGGGAGGGCAGGGCACCCCACTAAGGGGACAGACTTTTGATCAATTATTTTCGACACACAACACACAACTAAGCAGCAATCGAGCTCTTGGTATCCTTTCGACCTTTCTATCAGAGACTTGGGACCTGTCCCTCTCTCAACTGTTTGTACCCCCTACTACGAATCTTTTTTGGTACTAATAACACGAGCAGCAGCAGACTGGACATAGGGACATTCATCCCGAATTAGTATAAACCTTGTGTCCATTAGTGCACCATCCGGGCCTAACACGCAACAATTATAAATTCACTAGCTGGTGTTTGTTCGAAACACCGACACACATCAAGCCGCAGATCATACAAACCAAAAGATGTAGCTTGCACTAGCACTACTCATATTTGGAGACTTGCACTAGCACTACTCATATTTGGAGACACCATCTATTGCATAGAAGCAATCAAGCATGGAAAACCCTAATTAGTACGGGGAAGTGGGGAACAAAGAAAATCAAGCAATGAGAAGTCAATAACTGCAGAAATAGAGTAGACCGAGAATGGGAAGGGGAAGTGGTGGACAACGAAATCAAGCAACGAGAAGTCAAGAACTGCATAAATAGAGTAGATCAAGAATGGGGAACGGAATGAACTCACAGGTGGTCGCTGGATCGACGCCGCGGGGTGCAGGATCGTCCCTAGCGGATGGCGAGCGGGGGCAGGGGCTCATCACCGGAGGTTGCCGAGCAGAGAAGGAGGCTCGTTGTCGGCAGCCAGCGAGCGGGGGCGAGGCTCGTCGCGCGTGACCCAGCGGTGAACGGAGGGGCGATAAGGGCGCGGAAACCCTAGCCGCCGGGGGGAACGGCATCGCCCATGGCTAGGGTTTCGCAGCGGGTCCCAGCGGCAAATGGAGCGGAGGTGAGAGGTAGCGCGTGGCTAGGCGTGCATGGGCCGACGGAGGTGAGAGGAAGAGCGCACGGTGGAGGCGACGGCGAGTTCGGTAGCCTGACGGCGTCTGAAAGCAAGAATCGCGCCCCTAAGTTAGCCGTCCGCGAGCTCTGGCTTATAAACTGGAGGGCATTTGTAGGGGCGGCTCCTGAGTTAGCCGCCCCTACAAATCGATTTTTAGGGGCGATTCCTGAGCTAGCTGACCCTATAAATATTTTTCAATTTATTTTAATTAATAATTATGTAATTCATTCATATATAAAGAACACGATGTAAATTTATATATTAGTTTTTTTATTATTCTATACATATAAATATATGTATATATAAACAATTTTATTATATATATAGATATAATTTTATATTTTCTTCTTTATAAAAATAATATTTTAAAAATTTAAAATTTGAATTTC